TAATTACGGCAGGGAATTGAAAGCAAAAACTCTGCGGAAAATTATATAAAAAAAAATGAAATTAATTGTGTTTTTCTGAATGGAAAAGAAAAGTGGATTTAATTGTAATTCGCGCCGATTAAATAACATCTAATTAATTAAGGGTCGATGCGTTAATTATTCCGAGCTGCTTTATTTCTGATGTAGTTTAGTTAATGAGTGCTTCAAATGTCAGCTGTTTTAACTATTTTGTCCTTTTGCATCGATTGATTCGTTTCAAGTTAATTGCATTTTCATAAATTTGGATATATTTGTAACTGAAAATCGCTGAATTTTATTTAACGTTAAGTTAAAGAAAATAAATTTGATTAATTTTTAAATTTTCAACTGAAAATTATATTTCTAATGCTTTTTGATATAAATTTGAATATTTTCATAACTTTCAATTGAAAATCACTGCCTGTGATTTGTAATAATACTGTGTCTATTTTTATCGAATCGTTAAACAAATATCACTAGAAATCTGTTTTCCTTCATAACTTTTAAAAGAAAATCCAAGTATTATTATTTTAATAATGTGTCTCTTTTTAATGAATCGTTAAAAAAAAAATAGAAATTTGATTGTCTTTATAAATGTTAACTGATAATCTCAGCATTCTAATTTGTAATACTGTGTTTTAACAAATCGTTAAAAAAATATCAATAGAAATCTGAATTTCTTCATAACTTTTAACAGAAAATCCAAGTATTCTAATTTTACTAATGTGTTCATTTTTAACGAATCGTTAAAAAGAAACAATAGAAATTTGATTATATTTATAAATATTAACCGAAAATCTCAGTATTCTAGTAATATTGTGCCCATTTTTAACGAATCGTTAAAAAAATGTTAATAGAAATCTGAATTTGTTTATTATTTTATTTTGTAATAATTTGTCCGTTTTTAATGAAACGTTAAACAAATATCAATAGAAATCTGAATTTCTTCATAACTTTTAACAGAAAATCCAAGCATTTTCATTTTGATAATGTGTCTGTTTTTAACGAATCGTTAAAAAAATCAATCATATCTGAATTTGAACTGCATTTTATTAAGTAATAGTTTATCTAATTTAACGAAGCATTAAACAAATATCAATAGAAATCTGATTTTAAACTGTTAACTGAAAATGCAAGCATTTTATTAAGTAATAATTTATCCGTTTTCAACAAATATCAATAGAAATCTGAATTTCTTTATAACACAAAATCATTTCATTTTAATTAATTTTAATAATGTATCCGTTTTTAACGAAGAGTTAAATATATATGAATAGAAATTTATATTTCTGTTAACTGAAAATCTCTGCATTTTATTTGGTAATACAATGTCCGCTTTTTATAGTTTTTAACGTTAATAGCGCGTCGTCCGAAATACACACATTTCGTGTTTAGATCCGAAAGTAACGATCGTTTTCATGGTCGAATAATCGTATATTCGGACGCGATAATTGTTGATGGCCAATTAAAACCATTACAAAGTTTCAGCAAAAAAATAGTTTTTAACAACTAAATATCTGTTAATTAACATTCGCCTGCATAAAACACTACATTATACAGAAAACATTAATACTTATATAACTTTTGCTTCTGAAATTTATTTTTACATAATGTAATGTAAAAAAAAACTTCGTGAATAATTTTATGGAAAGTTACTCCAATTTTTTTTATATATAACTGGAGGAGTAATCAGTCTTCTGCTTAAGCTACCAAAGTTTGTTTGAATGAAAAATTCTGATAAAATATAAAAGTTGTAAATTAATGTTTTTTATAATTAGTAATTTTCATATCATAGACGAAATAAATTAATTTTGATTACATTTATTAAGCTTAAAAGAAAGGGATTATAACGAAACATTTTAGGAATTTTATTAATTACATAATTTTATATTATTAATTGTGTAAACAGACAAGGGTTTTTATAATTTAATTATGTTTTTTTTATATTATTTTAATGAAAAACACAATAAAAAATCTGTTGGAAATGTAAAATTTTTAGAAAAGTTTTCTTAATTTATTTTCATTGTGTTTACAAGAAATAAATAATTTAAATGTTTGGAATATGTTGTAGTCATTTTCTGAATCTTTTCTTAGAAAAAACGAACGACTTATTTAACACAAACAATACAAATTTTACTTTAAAAATAATTGAAAAATGCATACATTTTCAATTATTTGCGTTTAGAATTGAAATAATTATTATCAAATATTACTTTCAAATTAAATAAATTGAAAAAATTCTGTATATAATTTTCGTATACAAAAAAATATATTGAAAAAATGATAATTTCATTAATTAAGTTTAAAATTTCTGATGAATTTCTTTTATAGAATTACTACATTCATTATTATCTTGTAATGCACGAGAAGCGACATTCGTGTAGTTAGAGCACGAAACAGACAACAAGTGAATCCACTAAATTATTTAACACTAATTGGATGAAGTTTTCCATGAAATGAGCGTGTGTGTGAATAAAAAAAAGGACTTTGGGGGTGAAAAACCTGCTGCAATATGCATCATCCATCCAAAATAAATAAATAACTTCGAACACAATTTTGCAAATCGCTGCAGTTTGCACAATGTGGATTAAATAATGCGCAGACTTCGCACAAAAAAACGCGTAATTGCGAATTGAACTTGGTCGAATGATACACACTCACACACATACTCTTCCCTATAGGTTATATAATACATGAGAAGGAAAGGAAGAGGAAGGATCGATACGGCACGCTGAGACCAGAGGACGGGGGTGGGCGAACTAAAGCCCACCGTACATATGGATTTAATGCTTGCGTAAGGGCAAATACATATTGTTCGGTGAAACGATGAATGAATTTTCTTTCTCTTTGATACAATGTTCTTCTCCAACCTATGGCCAAATCGTTAAAAAAAATCTAAAAAATAATAATAATTATTTTTAATATACATCTATCATTCGTTTTACACGGTACTCTATTTACACGATTTCGCTTTAAAAAAAATAAATGAAAAAAACTTATCCCTTGTTTTACCTGTTATTTTTTACATGTTTTCGCTTTTAAACGGTTTCAATAAAATACATTTCTCTCTTTTTACACGTTATTTCTTTTACACGTTTTCCATTTTACACGGTATACAGAAAAAAATAATGTTGAAAATAAAGTGGCTATGATCATCAATCCTTAACTTCTCTTGTAAAGTATAGGGCAACTATATCCGCCTCTCGTCCACAAAGGTTTACATTTATTCTGGTTCTAACAATCATCGTTTATGAGTGTGTTTTCAGTAAATTACCTTTAGGACATTGCAATAGAAATTATTTAAAAGGTGGTTTCGTCATGATACCACTAGGGCTCAAAGGCAAAGTGTTTTATGATATCAACTAATAATATTAATTATTAGTTGATTAATTGTGATTTGGTAGGATTTGATTCATATGTATCGACTAAGCGTTTCCCACGGGAATGTTTATTCTTTATAATTCAAATTCGGAGGTCGCTGCTTTCGATTTGTCCACTCCTGGTCTTGTGCTGATAACCTGTATTAATTCATATACAAATAAGTATTGTAATAAGATCATTGCTTTTGTCAGTATGTACTTCTAATGGTTGGATGTTATTTCTTCTTTTAGTACATCTTCTGAGCATATTTTGCGCCAAGCATTTCTTTTAACAACTTCTTTCCAAGAACTATCAAGATATTCTGATAATTGCAAACTTTATTATATCAAAGTTTCGTCTCTTTGATACAATGTGCTTCTACAACCTATGGCCAAATCATTAAAATTTTTTTAAAAAATAATAATAATTATTTTTATTTACATCTAACATTCGTTTTACACGGTACTCTATTTACACGATTTCGCTTTTTCGGTTTAAAAAAAAATAAATGAAAAAAACCTATCCCTCGTTTTACCTGTTATTTTTTACATGTTTTCGCTTTTAAACGGTTTCAATAAAATACATTTCTCTCTTTTTACACGTTATTTCTTTTACACGTTTTCCAATTTACACGGTATACAGAAAAAATGAATGTTGAAAATAAAGTGGCTATGATCATCAATCCTTAATTTCTCTTGTAAATAATAGGGCAACCATATCCGCCTCTCGTCCACAAAGGTTTACATTTATTCTGGTTCTAACAATCAACGTTTAAGAGTGTGTTTTCAGTAAATTACCTATAAGACATTGCAATATAAATTATTTAAAAGGTGGTTTCGTCATGATACCACTAGGGCTCAAAGGCAAAGTGCTTTATGATATCAACTAATAATATTAATTATTAGTTGATTAATTGCGATTTAGTAGGATTTGATTCATATGTGTCGACTAAGCGTTTCCCACGGGAATGTTTATTCTTAATAATTCAAACTTGGAGGTCGCTGCTTTCGATTTGTCCACTCTTGGTTTTGTGCTGATAACTTGTATTAATTCATATACAAAAAAAAGTTTTGTAATAAGATCATTGCTTTTGTCAGTATGTACTTCTAATGGTTGGATGTTATTTCTTCTTTTAATACAACTTCTGAGCATATTTTGCGCCAAACATTTCTTTTAACAACTTCTTTCCAAGAACTATCAAGATTTTCTGATAATTGCAAACTTCATTATATCAAAGTTTCGTTATCAAAAAGTAACGTTAACCGAGTTATGACTGTACTTGTTTTTTGTTGTTGATTGAAATTCTAAGATGAATTTCATTTAATATTATTAAATTTGTCTATGTAACAGATTTATATATAAATTGTATTTATTTTGTTGTGATTACGTAAATATATCACCCTTATGAATATAATTTAGGTCAAAGCTTTGCAGGTAAATTGAGTGTTGTTACACTATAAATTGAAGCGCTTCCATACATCACAAACTATTATACTCTGAGCCGCATTGTCCAGCTTTTGATCTAAATGAAAGTAACAAAAAAAGAAGAAAAATATTCATCATCCAACAAAAGGATAATGCGTATATCGAAGCTAATTTCATTTTTTTTTTGTTTGTTTCAGTGATGGCCCGACGTAGAAAGCAGAAGCACAAAGAAGGGTCGTAGAGGAATCATCCTTTCCTTTTTATATACTATATCTATATATACTCTTTTCGCATATCAAATCCGTATCCTCATTGTCTCGTCCTTTGTTTTATTCCTTGTTTTTTTTTTCCTTGCGTTTGAGGCTTAATCGCCTCGACACAACCAGACAACCATGGATCACAGCGTGAAGGCGATGACATCTCCGAGGATCGCGTCTCGCGTCCTCAATCCACATCGCTTCGAGAACGACGAACTGGAACTGCTCTATCAGAGGTACATCTGCAAGTTGCAGCATTCGAGCGTCGCCGCCGTCGTCGCACTCTTCGTCATCCTGACGGCGATCCTGGCGAGTCTAGGACTTGTCTACGCCCAAGCCGCAACAGCACAAGTAAGGTTTAATACTTAAAGACGTTGATGAATTAAATTGAAGACAAAACTATGACCTTTCCAATAAGCCTATTATCAAATGCGTGACATTTTCCATTCTCTTGCAATAAGCTGTCAAAGTTGAAAATGAAGTATTGTTAATTGTATAAATCTTTATCACATCTTTTATTAAATTACTCTATAACCGCACACTCTAATTACATCGTGGAATATGCAAATTAAGGACAAAAGTATAGATTTTTCAATAAGACTATTATCAAATGTGTGGCTTTTACCATTCTCTTGTAATAAACTGACAAATTTGAAAATGAAGTTTACATAATATTAATTGTTAATTTTTTAAATCCTTATCACATCTTTTATTTAATTACTAGATAACCACACACTCTAGTTACATCATCGAATATGCAAATTAAGGACAAACCTATATACTTTACAATAAGACTATTATCAAATGTGTAGCTTTTACCATTCTCTTACAATAAGTTGTTAAAGGGGAAAATGCAGTTTACATAATTTTAATTGTATTTTTTTTTTAATCTTTCATTTAATTGCTCCATAACCACACACGCTAATTAGATCATAGAACATGGAAATTAAAGATAAAAGTATAGTCTATCCAATAAGCATATTATCAAATGTGTGGCATTAACAATTATCTTACAATAAGTTGTCAAAGTTGAAAATCAAGTATTGTTAATTGTATAAATCTTTAACATATCTTTTATTAAATTACTCTATAACCACATATTCTAATTGCATCTTGGAATATGCAAATTAAGGATAAAACTATAGATTTTTTCAATAAGACTATTGTCAAATGTGTGGCTTGTACCATTCTCTTGTAATAAACTGACAAATTTGAAAATGAAGTTTAAATAATATTAATTGTTAATTTTTTAAATCCTTATCACATCTTTTATTTAATTACTAGATAACCACACACTCTTGTTACATCATCGAATATGGAAATTAAGGACAAACATATATACTTTACAATAAGCTGTTAAAGGGGAAAATGCAGTTTACATAATTTTAATTGTATTTTTTTTAATCTTTCATTTAATTGCTCCATAACCACACACGCTAATTAGATCATAGAACATGGAAATTAAAGATAAAAGTATAGTCTATCCAATAAGCATATTATCAAATGTGTGGCATTTACCATTATCTTACAATAAGCTGTCAAAGTTGAAAATGAAGTATTGTTATTTGTATAAATCTTTAACATATCTTTTATTAAATTACTCTATAACCACACACTCTAATTGCATCATGGAATATGCAAATTAAGGATAAAACTATAAATTTTTCAATAAGACTATTGTCAAATGTGTGGTTTGTACCATTCTCTTGTAATAAACTGACAAATTTGAAATTGCAGCTTACTTAATATTAATTGTTAATTTTGTAATGCTTTATCACATCATTTATTTAATTACTCGATAACCACACACGCTAATTACATCATTGAAAATGCAAATTAAAGACAAAACTATAGATTTTTCAATAAGCTTATTATCAAATGTATGGCTTTTACCATTATCTTGCGATAAACTGTCAAAGTTGAAAATTAAGTATTTTACTGCTGTTGATTGTTTAAATCTTTATCACATCTTTTATTTAAATACTTGATAACCACACACGCTAATTAGATAATAGAATATGCAAATTAAAGACAAAACTATGGACTTTCCAATGAGTCTATTATAATATTAGATATATTTACCATTTTCTTGCGATAAACTGTTAAATGTCGTCATTATATCCTTATACTACTTTAATTTATTAGTAACTATAAACAAAAAAGTGCAATAAATTTAACCAAACATTCAATCAATGATTTACAACTTCCATCAATGATTTATATCTAGGATGCTTTGATTTATAATCCTTTTTACCATCACTTTCAATCCTACTTAATTATTTTATTTTTTTGTGATTATGAGAAACGTCCAATATTTTCTTAAACAAATCCTTCAATCAATTCTTTGAACCTTACATTATTTCAAGAATTAAAATAGAAAATGAATACTTTTCGAAAACAGTTTCACTATCGCTTTCAATACTCCTGCATTATTTCATTTATAGTATGGGGAAAAGTCCAATATTTTTTTGCATGGCAACAGCTGACTCCTATTTCCAATACTTTATGTTTTAATAACACACCGTTTGGCCGTGTCACATTTTTTTTATGCGTTTGTGAGTTTGCAATTTCGATTATTTATTACACGAAAATCCAATTTATCATACGTTTTTTTATACAACTGACGTAAATTCACATCAAAATCAGTTAATCCTTGAATCATAATTTATACATTATTAATCACATCATAAACTTGTTAATCAAAAACATACATAATCGCAAAATTATAAAAGAAAAACAACAATTTGAAGAATTTAATTCATAAATTACTAATTAATATGAATCAATTAATAAATTACTGTTGAAACTCACGCCTTTTTTGACTAATTGTTGTCTATTATAAACTACTTATTTTTCTCTTTGATTCTCTTTGAATTAAATCGTCAATTCTAATTAGTTTGAAACAAGAAAACTTACTTTTCTCATTTAGTCTCATTATTTTACAGATAATTATAGTAATATTAGAGAATTTAAGCATTAATTGAACCTTATCAAAGTCAACAAAAAATATTAATCAATTAAACAAAAATTTTATTCTTTTATTGAAAATTATAAACGGTGTCCCAAAATTAACGCAAGATTTGAATTTTCCGCCATTTGTGCAAAAAAGAAAACAATTTGACACTTCATTGCACAAATGGCGACAAATTCAAATCTTGTGGACACCCTTTATTTATAGTTTACTTATTTTTCTTGTTTTTCAGGTTGTCTATCATGCGGCTCATTGTATACTCTTCATCCTGCTGCTCGGATTCCTGCACACTCGACTCATGCAAGACGCTTACCTTCTGTGGGTATGCTACGCGGTCCTCTTCTTCCTGGCAACATTCTGCGCTCTTGCATTACCGGTGTACGGAGGATCTGCAAGAGTCGCAGCAGAAGGAGTCTGGCAAGTCGTCTTCGTGGTGTTCCTAGCTTATGCAATGATGCCGTTAAAAGCATGGATTGCAGCGCTTTTCGGTCTACTTCTATGCTCCGCGCACATCGCAGTTGCCGTAGTTTTCGCCAAGGACTTCCCACATCTCCTATGGCAACAGGTAAGAACTTCACACATACTCAAATATCTATAATATTAATCGGTTCAAAATCGAATGAAAATCTCGACAATTAAAATCCCGACAACCATAATCTGGACAGTGTTAAAGGGAGGACGAGTTGTTCTCAATTCATAACTGTATACCTTTATGTTTGTATATAGATTATTTCACCAAATTATACAAATAAATATGGCTTCCAAATAAATTTGATACTGTCGGGATTTTAAGACTGTCGGTATTATGTATGTCACTATGTCGGGATTTCGAATATTGGGAATTTGATTGTCGAGATTACAATTGTTGGGATTTCGATATAGATCCGAACTTCACACACACTGAAAAACTATCTATAATATTAATGGTATACTTGAGAAGAGCATTATAAAATGGTTTAGAAGGTGTCGAACTTTTATGGTTAAAAGCACCGTTGAAATTCACGACGTCCCAGAGGAGGAGGAGGTTAAAGACACGTAATATGTTTGTGAACTGCATTATTATCCAGACACACCTCGGTTAAAGTGTAATCTCGTATAAATCTTAGAACATTTTGCACTCTCTCCATCCTTCTTCGGTGCAACGACCGCAGTTCGTTTTATCTTTCGTCTATATGCTCATCTTCGTACTGCAACCAGTGAGAAAATGTAGAATAATATTTTCAACAAAAAAAAAACATAATTTAAGGGTTTTTATAATTTAAATTTTGAATAATTTATAGACTACAAGAATTCAGCTTTTAATGCATAATATATTTCAGTTAGGATCAAAATCCCGACATCCAAATTTCCGACAATCTCGACAACCATAATCCGGACACTGAAAATCCCGACAATAACTTTTATTATTTGATATAGATCAGCGTTTTCCAAACTGTGAGGCGCGCCTCCCTGGGGAGGCGTGGACTAGTCTTAGGGGAGGCGCGAATATTAGTAGCAG